GCCGACCCCCGGAACCCCGGAACCCCGGCGGGGTCCCGGGGCCGGGGTTCGACAACCCTGGACACAACGGAGACTTTTTTTTCTTGCTCAATTGATCAATTAATCCATTGATTGATTAATCAATGAATCAATCAATCATTTTTTCTTTCTCTGTGCCTGTTTTTTTTTTCTCTCTCTCTCTCTCTCTTTTCGATCAATCAATCAATTTGATCGATTAATTGGTTGATTGTTTTCTCATGGTGGTCTCCGCAGATGGACAAGCATCTACTCAAATGAATATGGTGGTCGACAGCCAGGTAGATAGGTCGGTGAAAGGAATATCATGGTCCAATGTGCTGAGGCAAATTCGGGCACGTAGTGATGGGGATGGTCTATTTGGAAAATGGCTTGCCGATGCTCGCACGGAGAGGAAATATTTTGAGGAATGTAGTGAACGATACGAGTATGGCATGGCTTCGCAAATTCATGACATGGAGCAGCGTCTGCTTCAACGTAAGTCTAAAGTGCCTTATAGTATTGCAGGTAAGGTTCCGAATGATTCCGCATTGAAAGGAGAATGCGGCCGCTATTTGACTGACAATAAAGGCCTTTGGTGGACTCAGGACAAGTTGCTTGGGATGTTGAAGAAGAAGGAGGAGGAAGTGACTGCCATGAGGAGTGTATTCGCAAAAATTAAGGTGAATGCACGATCAGTGTTTGAAACTTTCCTGGAAAGGAAATGAAGTGAAGAGGTGAGAGATTGGTCTTTGTCCAGTAGTGTGGATGGGAAGGAGGAGAATGTTGGCGAGGACATTGCCAACCAACTTACGTCTTTAATTCAATCCTCGATTAGAAATGACTTGCTTGACCAATTTGTTGAGCTTAGTACTAAAGTTGATCCGCATCTGTCGCAAGAGTGTGAGTATTTGCGTCTACGCTGTGAAACAGCCGAGAGTGGATTGCGAAAATTGTTGCCGGCAGGTGCCTTGCCATCGATTGATCCTTCTTTTGCATCAGAGGTGTTTGAGCTTCCATCAGGTCGAATTTTATAAGAGCTTCCGAAAAGTTGTTTGATTAGTATGTTGCAATCATTGCGAACAGTTGGTGTGGAGCTTGCACATAGAAATGCGCTTTTGGAGGTGCAAAAGTACAATGAGCTTTCCGGTAAGCGTGAGCCAGTTGAGAGCGACAGTTGTTACTCTCGGACAATTGTACAAGGACGCACGATAAGAGTTAATGGACATTGTGTATCAACATAGTTTCTCGGATCAGTGCGGTGAGGAACTGACGGATGGCATGATGGCGAGGTACAAGGAACAGTTGTATAGCCTCATAATTTTGTTAGGAAATATCATTGTTGCTCATTCGTCGGTGCGGGTTATGAAGGAGATGAGCCATGTAAAAAAAGAATTGAACGCTCTCTCCAGCATAAATAAAAAGCATGAGACCAGATTGCATGAGGTGGTGCTTGCACTGGTTGAAGCTCTGCGGCGTCGATGTCGAAAGTGTTGCCGCCTAAGCTATTTGACAAAGGGGGACTATAGAAAGATAAATGATTTGACGGATGTTACACGTACGTGTGACAACACGACAAACCTTTAYCCCCATTGAGATGCCGTTGTTGATGATAACGAAAAGTTCGGAATGGAAGAAAGGAGAAGGCAACTTCGTGGGGAGGACGATGTAGATGAATAGTGGTTTTTTTTTTTTTGTGGTCGCATATGCATTAACTTGTGTTCGAGTGAGAATAGTAGGAGAAGGAGGAGCTAGAGTGGGAGGGAGAACATGATTGTAAGGTGGGATGACGAGCAGGAATGCGTCCTTTCACATTTGTTCATTTCATTAATGATGATGACAGTTGAATAGGTTTATGTCAACTTTATGATAAAATGCTTAAATTTTATATCTTTTGACACTTTTATTTAAGTTTTCTCGCTCCCTGTCTCTGTTTGTCTTTCTCTGTCTCTCTCTTTCTCTCTTTTTTTTTTTCTCTCTCTGTCTCTTTGTCTCTTGGTCTCTCGGTCTCTCTCTTTCTCTCTCTCTCTCTGTCTCCTTTTTTTTTCTTCTGTCTCTCTTTTTCTGTCTCTCTTCTATTTGTTTCTACATTCCCTCTTTGACAACTGTTTTTTCATTTGCATGAAAATATTGTTGATGGATTAAAATAAAGGTTGCTTTAATCATTTGTTCATATGTTATCTCATGTTGTATGTGTTCATTGTTCTAAACATTATGTAACTCTTTAGAGACTTACATTTTTTTAATTTTTTTTTTTCATTATTGTTTTGTTCTCTGTATTCGCTCTTATACTGTTCTACATATTTTTTTTATCTCCCTCTTTTTTTATTTGTGTTTTGATTTGATTTTTTTTTTTTTTTTTTTTT